GTCCCTCAGGGTCCCTCCCCGCCCCTCAGGGTCCCTCGCGGTCCCTCTCTGCCCCTCAGGGTCTCTCGCGGTCCCTCACCGCCCCTCAGGGTCCCTCACCGCCCCTCAGGGTCCCTCACCGCCCCTCAGGGTCCCTCACTGCCCCTCAGGGTCCCTCGCGGTCCCTCGCGGTCCCTCACTGTCCCTCAGGGTCCCTCACCGCTCCTCAGGGTCCTTCACGGTCCTTCAGGGTCCCTCACTGCCCCTCACGGTCCCTCACGGTCCCTCACGGTCCCTCACGGTCCCTCACGGTCCCTCACGGTCCCTCACGGTCCCTCACGGTCCCTCACGGTCCCTCACGGTCCCTCACGGTCCCTCACGGTCCCTCACGGTCCCTCACGGTCCCTCACGGTCCCTCACGGTCCCTCACGGTCCCTCACGGTCCCTCACGGTCCCTCACGGTCCCTCACGGCCCCTCACGGTCCCTCACAGTCCCTCACTGCCCCTCAGGGTCCTTCGCGGTCCTTCAGGGTCCCTCAGGGTCCCTCACTGCCCCTCAAGGTCCCCCACTGCCCCTCAGGGTCCCTCGCGGTCCCCCACTGCCTGTCAGGGTCTTTCATGGTCTCACCACCCTCAGGGTCCATCACCGTCCCTCAGGGTCCTTCGCAGTCCCTCAGCCGTGTCCTGCAGCATGCTTACCGCTCGTGTTTGGTAACTAAATACGGCGCTTCTTACATAAAGTTACGCAGAGAAAACAGAAAACTGTACTTGGATTTCGAGGGAAACCATATCCGACTGCAAAAGCACAAGTGCTGGCCTCTAAACCGGTCTCTGACAGCTCCCAAACTAACGGCACAGGGCCTTGAAATAGGTAATTACAAATTGCTTCTCTTTTTTAATGTTGACTGAGGCTGTCGTGGCACCCGAGCAGGCAGCAAGGGCTCTCCAAAAGGGAAACTACTTAGTAAAGGCTAGTGCTGCCATTTGAAAGCAGATACTGATTTACTGCTGGGAATGTATAAAGACAAACACATAAAATTTTATTTTCTTTAGCCAGAGAATGGGTAAAGTGTTGTTTACTTACTTAGAAGATGCAGGCATTTTCTCTAAGTCGAAATTGTTTTCATTTGTGCCTTTTATGCAGCAGGCAATCACAAAGCCCGAGTAAAATAGCTCTTCTGGTAAATTTTCAGTGAGTTACTATGATAGCGAGGAGAATTAACCCACAACCTTTCTAGAAAGACAAGGTCAGGCGTTATTAACATGTGCGTTATGCTCAGTACAGCCAATGAGTTATTGGGCAAAGTGCAGTAACCGCTTGGCTGGTGAAGACGTTTTCAGGGCCAGTTCTCCAGCATTTTGTCCATCCTTCGTGCACCATTTTCCCAAACCTCAGTCCTAGGCCCCCTGGGACTAACTGGGAGCCTTAAGTAAGGCCTAACCTGCCCTCCTTCCCCAGCCTGGCCCCGGGGCAGCTCTCCAGAGCAGTCCCCAGCCACACGCTGTGCCCGTGGCAGAGGTGGAAGCCTGCCCTGGCAGTGGCACAGCTGGGCACAGCTGCGGGCTGCTCCCCCAGGCAGGCAGGGTGGGACACGGCGTGCAGCCACCCCCTGCCCAGATCAGCCTTTCCAAGCATGCCAGTGCCTAAATTGTCTTCTGCCATGCCTGACCCCAGGAAATCTGCTGAGAAATTTGTATTTAATTCGCATGGTTAAAAATCAGTTTTCGTTCTGCTAAGGACCTTAGGGCAAATTTGTCCTTTGCAAACCAAAATACAATTTTCAACTGAGTAACTGTGCAAGAAGCGAGTTCCTGATGCTGATGCCTTTGTTTCTTACGCCCTCAGGTGCTCGGCCGGACAGAGGGCAGGGCCGTGGCTCTGCAGCC